ACAAGTAGATGAACTGCCTGACAGAACAAAATTCAACATTCATTAAGAGAAGACAGCAAAATCTGAACATTTAAATATAAAGTTAGTTATGGCCGTCATTTAATAAAAATTATTAAATATGTAAAAAAGCAGGAAAAGGTAACCATTGTCAGAAGAAGAAACAATCAAATGAAACAGACTGAGAAATAATTAGGATAATGGAATTAGCAGATAAAGACTTTAAAATAGCTATTATAACAGTGTTCTCAAATGAAACTTCAAGACGAGTTAGGTTAAAATGAAAAAAGGAAACGAGAGGGCAATTCAGATTAAAACCATGATGAAACTACTAGTACACACTCACTAAAATGACTAAAATTAAAAAGATTGATAATTCCCAGTGTTGATGAGGTTGTGATGCAAACTAAACTTTTTTAGATTGTTAGGCAGTGTGAAATGATGCAGTCACTCTGCAGGCAATACAGCAATGTCTTATTGCATCTATAGTTCCCTTATGATCTAAAAGTGTCACTTGTAGGCATTTGCTAAAAACTGGTTTCTCTAAAAAGAATCAAACCCTTTTATAAAATAAGCAAAGTAAAACCTAGATGAGTATCAGAAAATGAGTTTCTGCTCTTGTGGTCTCACATGGGATATTGTCAGACTAAGTGAGGGTCATAGAGCATGCAGTATAAACAAAAAACAATGAAAAACAGCAAAAGTCAGAAATGCCAACTGCAGAAACCACTAGTCCTTTTCCAGAAATTTGAGTAAAAATCTCATATCCTGTCCTAACATAGTAAAGACAGAATGCACTTTGAAAGCTTATAAAACCTGTCTTTGGAAGTGAGTTGTAACGATCTGTTTAGAGATTTAGTTTTGTTTTTTTTTTCTTTAATGTTTGACTACAGCCTGAGTAGAGAATTCACTTTTAGGGCTGCTCTGTTCTTTCATTAGTGTAGCTCGGGTTTAAGAAAATTATACTTCAATTTTGTTCGATGAGAGAACATGAAGGCCCTATTATAGCATTGTGTTGCAAAGTGACACTTATGGGTTTTTTGGTCCCTTGCTGCAAATCTCTTTTTAGTCTGTCTTGGTGATTTAAGAATTGCATAGGGTTAATATGACACAATTCATTTCCCTGGATGCAGTTCTTTTTAAGTGGAAACATATGGTCATTTTCAATTTTTATGATCCATTGCATAATTTAAGAACATTTGCATTTCCTTTAATATATTTTAATTCTTCACATTCATTTAAAAACAAACATACTTCAGTTAATTTAAAAAAATTTTTCTTCATACGTGAAAGGCATTTTATGCTAGTTGAACAAAAGTAGATTTCATTAAAGATGATATTTGAAGTTTTGAATGAGGATTTAGAAAATTCATGGTGTTATCTTGAGCATCTTTAGAAAAAGATCAGCCCCAAATTAACTTGTGGCTTATTGACATTTGGTCCCTGTGGTCTGTTTAATAAATTCCATGTTTGTTGTATTTGTCCTCTCGTTTTCTCTTTTCATTTTAACATGTTTTTATGTTTATAAAATGGCATTTTATATAACAGTAAATATTAATGACAACTTCATCAATCAACATGAATGAACTTTAGAAGTATATTATTGAATAAGAAAAAAGCAAATCCAGGTAGGATACTATTTGTATAAAGCACAAAGAAAAGCAAAACTGAACCACATATTTTAGAAGAAATGTATTTATAATGAAGAAAGAAGTTTTAAAGACAGGAATGTTAAACACAAAATTTAGGATAGTGGTTATTTCTCATGGGAAAAGCAGAAGCATGGCATAATTTTAACACAACAGTAGGAAAGAAGAACCCTTAACTTGACTCTTCTTGAAGTTTAATTCAAAAGATCCTTTTCCATTCTGAAAAATCAAACCACAGTTCCTACTTAAGTAGCAGCCAGATAGTAGAATAATTATTAACGGTTTCTAAGCTAACACTGTGGGGCATCCGTCATAACTTGGATTAATTTTGCATGCCCCTTCATTATTAGTTGAGGACCTTTTTGAATATAGTTGATGTTGGCAGCTAGATTTAAAAAAATTAATAGATTTTATATTTTGAACAGGTTCAAGTTTGTGGAAAAATTGAGTGGTAAGTTCATAGAGTTCCCATTACCTCCCGCCCAAGTTTTCTTTGTTGTTAACTTCTTGAATTGGCGTGGCACATTTGTTATAGTTGGTGAGACAGTAATGACACATTATTATTAACTAAGGGCTTCCCTGAAGGCTCAGAACATAGAATCTGTCTGCAGTGCAAGAGACCTGGGTTCAATCCCTGGGTCGGGAAGGTGCCCTGGAGGAGGACATGACAACCCACTCCAGTATTCTTGCCTGGGTAATTCCATGGACAGAGGAGCCTGGTGGGCTACAGTCCATAGGGTCGTAAAGAGTCGGACACGACTAAGAGATTAATATGCATGCATTATTAACTAAAGTCCATTGTTTACATTAGGGTTAATTCTTTGCACTGTACATTTTACAGGTATTTTAAAGACTTTATTTTTTAGAGTAGTTTTATTAACATCACAGAAGTATTGAGAGGGAGGTACAGAGTTTTCTCATATGTCCCCAGCCCTCACACATGCTCTGCAATGAGTTTTGAAAATTTAAAAAGTGGTCCTAAAACTTAGTTACTTTAAATAAGTGCTTTGCAATTTAAGGGCTCTGAATTTCGTTTCGGTCAATTTTGAATAATTTTGTGACCCTATCATGCTGGGCCACACTGGAGGCAGCGTGACCCTGTATTCTGCTGCCAGAATACTCTTCTGCTTATCCCGTTAAAAGGTGTTCCCTTTCCTGCAGAAGAAAATGTCACTTTTGGAATGCCAGGTCTGCCCCTGCTCCTGTAGAAGATGAAAGTTTTGTTTAATGTAAAAAGACACCAGTTATAAATGGAGTTGCATCTAAATGCTCATTTGTGAGTTCGTGTTTAGATTTTAAATACACTTATAGAAATGATATTATAAAAGAGGGCTTCCCTGAAGGTCCGGTGTTTAAGACGTCACTGTCCAATGCAGGGGTTGTAGATTCGCTTCCTGGTGGAGGAGCCATGATCCCACATGTCTTGTGGTCAGAAAAGCAAAACATAAAGCAGAAGCAGCGTTGTAACAAATTTAGTAAAGACTTTAACAACGGTCTGCATCAAAAAAATCTTTAAAAAATAAACAACTTTTGATATCACACATGATGTCTAGATCGACCTGTCAGCCCAGACAACCTGTTGGGGGATCATGATATATCATGATTAAATGTAAGTCTGGACTCTAAAATCAGGCTGTCCAAGTTCCTGTCTTAGCTTTGTCACTACAATGTGATATTTCCTGAGTTACCTTACCATTTTATGCCTCACTTTCCCAATCTTTAGTATGGAGATGATAATAATACCTACTTTACAGAGTGGTGAGACATAGGGATAATGCATGTAAATGGGTTAGGAATGTGCTAGCATAAAGTCTGTGCTCAATACAACTGTTATTATATAATTCACAATGTATCAGAAGTGTTCAGGCATCCAATAAAATCTAATTAACATGTTAGAAGAAAGTTTGAGAGAAAATATCTTCAGTATTTCTGACAAGGATGCTACGAACGCACTTCCTTTCACCTTTCTCTACTCTGTTTAGGTCAGTAGAGTCAAGGAAATGACAACTTTTTAGTTCTCAGGCTCTGAGGTGACAGAGGAGACCCCAGAGGTCAGGGTAAGAGTGAGGAGACCATGGACCAAAGCCCTGCAGGGAGAGACAGAGCTGACAGCAAAGACTGAAGGATCCCAGGTTAGGGGACCAAGTCTTCCTGGGGTCAGAGCTTTGCTGGGGCCTTTTAGCTAGTTGTGTCCCCACTCATGTTCCACTGTTGACGTCAGTGTTTCTCTCCTCTGCAGATATGCTCCTGCTTATGCTCAGTTGCTCAGTCATGTCTGACTCTTTGTGACCCCATGGATTGCAGCCCGCCAGGCTTCTGTGTCCATGGAATTCTCCAGTCGAGAATAGTAGAGTAGGTTGCCATTTCCTTCTCCAGGGGATCATCCCGACCCAGGAATTGAACCCGTGTCTCCTGCATTGGCAAGCGGATTCTGTAACATCTGAGCCACATGTAGCTCCTTGTAATGTTTGCTGTGGGACTTCATGTTACCTAGCTTGGAAGAAACCCGGATGTGAAAAATTCCCCTGCCATGTTCTTCCCTCTTGTTTTTCTTTTTCGATTCCTCTGCTCTTAAGAGATGTGAAGGGAGAAAGTTAGGAAACGTGGTTAAAACAGTTTTCTAAAATACTATTTGTAGTCCTTATTTCAGTGCACTCTGAGATTTTACCAGAGAGGAAGTATGTTTTCAAGTTAATGCACAAATGAAGCAGTATATAGCCATGGACTGAAGTCATACTGTACTATTAATTAAACTATCAGGAATCATGTCTTTTTGCCTTTTCATACTGTGAAGAGCCGACTCGTTGGAAAAGATACTGATGCTGGGAAAGGTTGAGGACAGGAGAAAGGGGCAACAGAGGATGAGATGGTTGGATGGCATCATTGACTCAATGGACATGAGATTGAGCAAACTCTGGGAGATGGTGAAGTACAGGGAAGCCTGGTGTGCTGCAGTCCATGGGGTCGCAAAGAGTCAGACACGATTGAGCGACTGAACAACAACGGCATCAGGAATCAAGAGTACTTTTAAGAGCTCTATGTCCTAAAATTTGAAACTAATTTGTAGAATCATAATTCTTATCCTTGAATTTAAAAGTCAAGCCCAGTGCTTCTCCAGATTCTCTTCTAAAGTTAATTCATATGGAAACTGTGTTCCAATAATTGATTGTATACTAGTACAAGTTTATATGTTTATTTATAAAATCATAACAATGATGGGAATAATCATTTGAAACAAAAAACTGGAACAGGTTTTTTTTAATGTTTTGAGAAAACCTTTTATAGCAAGTACTTAAAATGTCACATCCATTTTAATATCTAAAAATATTCTTTTTTTGAAATATTCTTTTGTAGCTGTGCAATGGAGGATCAGTGACAGATCTTGTGAAAGGATTTCTGAAGGAGGGCAAAAGAATGAGTGAGCCCATAATTGCCTATATTTTACGTGAAGCACTGTTGGTAAGGCAGTTTAAATTATTCATGCATTAATTATAAGGCAGTTCTAGTTAAAAAAAATGTGTATCCTATTTTTAGAAAAAACACTTCATTAGTATTTATTGATGCAAGAGTGAGATACAAAATCTGAAATATGTAGCATAACTAATTTCTCTTTTCCACTAAAAATCTACCCTCCTCGTGTCTACAGAATCCTGAGTTTTGATCTCCTAGGTATATTTCTGAAATTAATGATGATGAAGGTAGATACTGTATATTTTTACTAACAGGTTTTTATTTGCCATTATTTATTTATTTTTAACAGCCATTATTTAGAATAAGTATTTAGAATTTTTCTTCTATTGGGATTAGCACATTTAAAATAAAATATTTCCTCAAGGCCAGGATTATGTCCTGGTTTTTCAAAATTTTTTTCAGTCCAAAGTGGACATGATGTACTTTGATTCGACTAACTCAATGTGAAACATTTACAAAGGTTTGAGTGTTAATTTTAACATGTGCTCACTGTTGATTTTGTATAAACGCATCCTTCTGAAATAAAATGTTTTTTTATTTGGTATTTTCTTCAAAAGTCACCATATTTATTTTCCACTTCCAGGGACTTCAGCATCTGCATAACAACAAAACTATCCACCGTGATATAAAAGGAAATAACATCCTGTTAACCACCGAAGGCGGAGTTAAACTCGTAGATTTTGGTAAATTTTGTTTGAAATCCATGAATTTGAGCTGCAAAATGAATAGTATGATTTGATCAGTTTCCATTAGCCTTACTTTCTAGGCATTGACAGTAGAGAAAGAAAAACAGCAACAATATCTAATTGAGGTAAGAAAGTTGCGGAGATTTTTAAAACTTTGGCAAATGACAGATTCCTAGAAGAAAGGGTGAGTTCTTTCAAGTCAGCCGGCGTGTGTCTGTAACGCCCCTGGAGCAGTACGCGGTTGATTCTCTAAAACAGACGGGCTCCAGATAATGACCCTGAGTCTAAGTGGTAGCACACGGCCCTTACTGTTGATGGCTTTACTGATGGGCAGGTGCCCAAAGCCAGGGTTTTGAAACAGGAGAGGAAATCTTCAAATGTCTCTGGGGTATCTTCCCTTCTAGGGAAAGAAGCTCAAGTCAAGATGGTCTCTTTCTTCCTTGGGACCTTTTGTGTTTTACTGTGATGCCTGCAACCACCTGGTTCTATCCTGAGATGTTCCATCCCAACCCCTGAGAGATGGGAAGAAGGAGGCTCCTTGGTGATACAGTCCAGCCACTAAATCAGCTCTGAACCTCCCCTGTCTCTGGACCTTTTGTCACCTGAGATAATACATTTCCACGTTGACTGAGCCAGTTGAGAGTTGTCTGTGTTGGAGCCAGGGGCACTATAGCTGATACCCCTGCTCCTCCTCTGCCAGTCGTGACAGACAGTCTCTCCCCGTCTTCTCACTAAATTGCCAGTAACACGTGACACCAGAGAGAGTGGGCGACATTGTTCTAGGACGTGTCCGTATCGTTGTCATCCTCCCCTTCCTGCACTCAAGCTGGGGAAGGTGTCTCTCCTCTGTGTATTTCTGTGCTTATCACATAGGATGATAATGGTCTTTTTGGTCTTTATATGTAGATAAAGATACTTAAGCACATATTAGTAGATAGACAGGGTCATTAAGAAGAAGTGGGACTATGTCTTCTATTTTGTAGACTTAATACTTTGGGAAGAGTAGTTCAGTGAGTAATCGTTGAGTGAATGAGTGAATCTTCCTTCACTTTGAATACTGGGAAATGAAGCTTAGGGAAAGTAATCAAGTCACTTTAGAAATTAATTGTTTTAATGTCCAAGTATGTGGGTCTCTAGCGACCTGGGTTCACCTCGAAATGAACTTCAGAGCATCTCGACAGGAACAGCTGAATAGCATATCTTTCAAATGCCCACACACGTGCTTTTTCCCCTCAGCTGAGCGTTTGAAAACTAAGGAGCAGCTTGGCAGTGAATGCAGCTAGTGTGTGTTACTAGTTGCGTTCAGAGCTGTGCGTTTGAACAACCTGGCTGAGTTAAGGTACTAATAAGAACTTGTGCCTGAAATTCTGAAAAACACTCTTCACTGCACCATCGACAGAGCTGTGTCTCTCCTCAGAATAATTTTGGCTCCACTCTTAACGGACCCAAATGGAGAACTTAGTATTTAACTTGAGCTCTCATAATTCCCTTGCTCTAAAATATGGCTCTAAAATATACATGAGCTCAGTCACTTCAGTTGTGTCCAACTCTTTGTGATCCCATGGACAGATCCCATGGCTCATCTGTCCATAGGATTCTCCAGGCAAGAATACTGGAGTGGGTTGCCCTGCCCTCCTCCAGGGGATGTTCCCAACCTAGGGATAGAATCTGCATCTCTTGTATCTCCTGCATTGTAGGCAGTCTTTACCTGCTGAGCTAGGCCTAATGAAAATTGTTAAAACAAGTGTAAATAAACATCTTCTTTATTTTTTTTTGTTGTTGTTTGGAATTTTGTTTTTTCTTTTTTTTTCATTTATTTTTATTCGTTGGAGGCTAATTACTTTACAATATTGTACTGGTTTTTGTCATACATTGACATGAATCATCCATGGATTTACATCTTCTTTAGTCACACACACACACCAAAAAGAAAAAACCTTGATAAACCAGTCACTCTGAGAAAAGCAACTTTCTGGAGCACCCTCCAGAGTAGTTCAGAGTAAAAATATACACCTGGATAATAAGTAAAGTGGCCTTTATTTGATATCTTTAGAAAGTAGTCATAAATTGGAAAGCTGACAAAATGAGAACTTTGGTTTTATACTAACTGACTTAAAGACTTTGCTGTCAGCACTAATTAGAAAAGAGCCTATGATATGTGTTCCTAGTGTCTGATACCAAAATGCTATTATTTGCATATAAAACAATGCTTATATCTGTATTCTCCATCATAAAAGGACATGGATTCAACTCACCTAAAGTGGCTTAAGGTTTTCATATGAATTAATACTTGAGGATGGAGTTGCATGCAGAGTAAAATTTCTCAAGGGCAGAAGAAATAAGATGTGCTAAGCCCCAGACTGCCGAATCAAACTGAAAATCAATGTCCTCATTTTATGTTTAAATCAGATTTTCAGAGACGGCCACAGCTGGGAGTAAAGGGGTTTAGAGTACATTTTTATTTTAATTTCTCACCTCATCAAGTGTGTGGTATGCTCATTATTGAATATTGGAGATCTGTACTTGGATGGCTGCCAGCCCTCCAAGTGTCCAGAATGGAACTCTACCATCTCATCCATACCCGGAAATCTGTTTCATATCAAGAGTTTCTTGCCTTAGAAAAAGTCTTAGTATCTGTTTTGTTGCTCAAGCCAGAAATCTCAGAAATCTCTGATTCTTGAGCCACCCTTTGTTTTCACCTCCTGCATCTACAGTGAGTCACAAGTTTCTCTCTCTCTGTTATAAATCCCCAGACCATGTCTTTATCACCCTTTTCTGGTCCTCGCCATCATCTCTGACCTGGGCTCCTGCAGCTACACCTTGCTAACCCCCTGCATCTAGTCTCATTCCTTTCCTTCCAGACCATTGTGCACACTCCATCTGCAGCCAGAAAGCTCAGCTGACCCGGCCACTCTCTTGTTTAGTATTCTGTTCAGTGGTTTCCTGTAGACTTTACCATCCTCTCCGCTGCCCCGGAGTAAGCACTTAGTGATTAACATCTTTTTTACCCCTTGGTGCTCATGAGGGACTCCCTCTTCCTGTGAGCTGAGGGCCAGGCCAACTTCTTTCAGTCCCTGAAATGTACCCACCCTCTTTCTCAGTTAAGGCTCTTATATATGTTCTGGAGGAAGAACTTCAAAATTGGTTAACATGCTTTTCTCTTGTTTATGCAAGAATGTGATCTTCACCCATCTGCCAGAGGCATCTGTCTGTCTTGGGGGAGGTTAAGATTTGTTTCAGAAGGAATGCAATAAGATGGCTGAGGTTAATAATAAAAAATAAGAATGTATAGCAAGACCCAGTTTATCTCCCCAGGAAGGTCTGTTTAAATTGCTTTATCTTTTCTTTAAAATATGGAGGGGGCAATTCCAGGAATCCATCATAGGGTTTCCCTTAAGAGCAAACAGAAAGTAGATGGAAACTCTTTCCGGTTCTCGGGTAATTGTGAAAAGGTGAAACAGAGAAGGAGGTGGGACAGTGAAATGAGCTTTTGAAAAGTGAAGGTGACAAGAGGGCAGAAGGGAGCCCTTACCCTCACCCTTTCCACCGCCGTCACTCCACGCCCCAGAGGAGGGCCCTGCAGAGTCCGTGCCAGTCCAGACGGCAGTGACCATGTGGTCCTGACCTGGAGGTGGAGACTGGTTAGGTAGAGGGAGCACTCATGCATGCCAAAGTTCTCCCGACCTTTATCCTCTGTTCCCATTAACCCCAAAATAACTCAAATCTGGCTGGGGAGTTACTAGAGGGGGTTGCCCAGGATGGGTGGTGAGGCAGAGCAGATCACCTAGGCCAGGTCTGAATAGGAATCACAGCCAGACCTTAGAACCTTGTCTGCCTCGGCTGAGTCTTCATGTGCTAGGAAGGTCTGCAGGAAGCCCTGCCTGTAGGAGAACAGGCCACAGGCTCGCCGGATGCAGACCGTGGCATCAGAGGCCAGGGGGAAAGACACATGGCCCCAGAGACCGGAGACCCACCACACCCCAGGACCCTCCCTCTTCTCCTCTCCACAAAGTCTTATAAGCCACACAAGGTCTTATAAACCATCCCTCATCCTGTACAGACAGTAACATCTTCAGGAGGGAAGAAGGGGGCACCGTCTGAGAGATGGTGCAAAGGCGGAGATGGAGCGAAGGCTTTCATCCAAGACAGAATGAATTCTTTCTCAAAGGACTTAGGATTTGGGTCTAAGCTTTACTTCTCCAAGCCAGTGGATAGGGACATGCTTGCTCAGTCACTCAGTCATGTCTGATTCTTTGTGACTCCATGAACTGTAGCCCGCCCTGCTCCTCTGTTATGGGACTTTTCAGGCAAGAACACTGTAGTGGGTTGCCATTTCCCCCTCCAGGGGATCATCCTGACCTAGGGATTGAACCTGTGTCTTCCTGCATCTTCTGCATTGGCAGGTGGATTCTTTACCACTCAGCTATCTGGCAAACCCCTGAGTAGGTTTGCCAGGGCATAGGAGAGGCCATAATAGTGAGAGAACAAATGAAGAAATCACAATTACATTTTCACTATGTATCTAAGTATAATGTCACTGAATTTTGTGACCAGTTACAAACACGATGCTTTCCCTGCATAGAAGCCTCCCCTTGTTGCTGTACCCAGATGGCTTCTGTCTGCCTGGCTGAGAACCTCCCCAGCACTCTATTCTTTTTTTTTTTTTAATTTTTATTTTATATTGGAGTGTAGTTGATTAACAATGTTGTGTTAGTTTCAGGTATACAGCTAAGTGATTCAGTTATATATATACGTCTGTCTTTTTTCAGATTCTTTTCCCAGTTAGGTTATTACAGAATATTGAGCAGAGTTCCCTGTGCTGTATAGTAGGTCCCTGTTGGTGATCTGTTTTAAATACAGCAGTGTGTACATGGCAATTCCAAATTCCCAGTCTATCCCTCCCCGTCCCACCCTTCCCTCTGGTAACCATTAATTTGCTCATGAAGTCTGTGAATGTGTTTCTGTTTTGTAAATAAGTTCAGTTGTATGATTTTTTT